TTGATTGTTACTCTGGTTGTTAGAAAGGGCATTGACTTCGTGATTTCTGAGAAATCTTGGCTTTCACCATGAGGCGTCAGAATTCCTCTAAATGATGGTCCTTAAACTCTTAGGGAACAGTTTAAATGGTTTAATTGTTTATTCTGGTTAGCGTTTTTCTAGTAAGGTTGTTTTTGATGGGATGGGATTACTGATCCCATACATAACTCTCCTCCTTTACCGAGGCTTTGGACCGACAGTAACCGTAGAAGAGATACAAACAAAGTTTCCTGGAGAATGGCGAATCCTGGTAGGCGGCCTATGCTTCTCCGTGAGGGGTAACAGGAGTAAGTAATTAAGCAACAACTACATATGCAAAGATGATACTATTTCTAGAATTGACGTTTGTTAGGAATGTCTGACAATCTTCAATTAGTCGTGAATTTTTAGTAAAACTGTTGTTATTAAACAACAATACCGTGACTAATACCACTACCAGTATGAGTTTGAATTACCTCGTTGTTCGATTCTCAGAATGGACTTCTGAACAGTCATTTTTATGATCTCATGTTTTGGACTCACTTATCATCTTAGTACTTACTAATATTTGTTATTATTTACTAGTGTTTGTAGACAAATGTACATCATGTGCTGATTACTTTAAAATAGCTCTTATTATCACAAGTTTTTAGAGTCGGCGGATTTCGAATAGTAGGGGGATCTAGGAGGTGAGTTTGGTCATATTTAAAACTTGTCACCTAAATGTATCTGGATCTTGTAGTAAAACAGCTATATCAAATGATTGGCACAGGATGAAAATTTATGAACAGATTCTAATCGAAATTTAGTACTGAATATCAACATTAGAATATTTTAAACCCTCTATAATAATATGTTTATCTGTACTCAATAGGTCAATGAATTACGTGTTGGTGTTTAAGGTCTAACATAAGATATGGTTGGTCCAATGTCAGACATCAACACTGCTATGCAGGTACGCCCAGATATCAAATAACATATAGAACGAAACATGAGAAAATTTCTTACTGAAGTTGAAATGGAACCATTGAAGACTGATCCGGTATTTCTAATGGTGAATGATTTTGGGCTTCGTCTCTAGTGACATCGACTGTGTGCACTGCTAAGTAGTTCTATCTTTGGATTAAGCAGTTGTTCATCGCTTCCTCGTTCTTAGTGGCATCCAAAAATGATATCAAACTGTAATAAATAAAACCTACAACTGACTAAACATAAGTACCATTTATTCACTTTCGTTTAATTTTATAGTTAGTATCACGGAATTACTGTACATTTTATTATTTTTTGATGATGAGTTAATGCTTATGAATGAGTTTTGTTTTTAAAAAAATGAGATTTAAATATTGGTTACAACGGCAATTAAAACGTACGATTCACTATCGTGTAGACATCCTTGAACCTTACATGATAATAACTATTTTAGCATTTGTTAGTATAAGACATACATCACCGATACAATAAGAACAATTAGAATAGAATTGGTTACTGAATTCCAGTTAGCAATATAAACGGTAACTTTTAATTAACTAAAAGAGACTAAAAGTAAAAGTCCCTAAATACATTATGGAATAATGACTTTATTCATTTGATTAGTTAGTTCACCAGTATAGCCGCCTGAAATTGTCCTTCATTAGTGTGTTACAACGGTTACAAATAAGTAATTATTTGTTGTTATTGATGATCACTTTATTTTAATGCTTTATAAATTCTTTGTAAATTGACGAGCAATTTATCATCAGACAATTTCTGTTCTTATGTCTGAAGTTTAAGATTTTCAAATATTTATAGTATTTAGATATTTAGTAGTATGTTGGTTGATAGGTGGTTTTTTATTTTATAATATTTTTCATAATTACAGTTTGCGAATTGATCCTGCAATATTCATCAGTAATTTATTATTACTCATTAGGACTTCATAGAAATCCTTGCTTCTTTCATTCGTTGTTTTTATCTAATTGTTGTCTATGATAAATCTTACCAAAAAAGTACCCGCAAACAGTCCCACTAAATTCATCAGTTTCCATAGTTGAGATCATGAGTCAATTGAAGCTAGACCACTATGGAAAACCTAGAAGCATTGGACTGCCATTTCATCCAGTTGTGGGACCCCTCAGAAGTGAGCATCCACGATCCCGCCCCGCGAGGTTCGAAACCAGGACCTGCTGGTCTAGTGCGTGAGCACTTAACCACTAGACCACTGAGCCGGCATTCAATGATGTTAATGTCCAACTTCAACTAAGCCACGAAATTGAGCGACACATCCACCATTGTCATTAGTGGGTTACTATCTCACAACTGACCTGTTTGAACTCCACTGGTCACTGCTTCTCACTAGAACTCTAGGAAATACATCTTCAAGCCAGTCACTAGTGAGCATATGTTGATTAGTATCAGAATTTCAGTAGTTGAGATCATGAGTCAAAATCTCCACAAAACCCCTTCTAATACTCATCAGTTTCATTTTCGACCATTTTCTCCTTTATAATAAATATTTATTTTTTAATCATTTTAGTATTGGTTGTTTGAATCTTCCCATTGTTGTTTAGCACTGCAATTGATCAGTCTATTATTGGCATATATGCATCCTGTTCGTATTACCTCGATATCGCCTTGAGTCACAAGCATTATAAGCAGAGATAGATGGTGGTACAAACTAGTGGCTATCTGAATTCAGAAGTTAATTGGATAAGGTGATGGTATTTGAAGTGAATGGTACTGAGTTTGAGTTTGAAAGTGAACATGAACTCTGAAATGCAGGTACACGGAGTTTTGGAGTTTCAAATAAGACGAAACTTTCATCCTGGATTCCACTGCTAGCCACCATCCATTTTTGAATATATGTTTTGTTGTTCATTGTTGAATCGTTTCATGTAAATAGACAGTACATGTAAAAAGAAAACATAACTGTCAATCGATATTGCTGCTGGGACATACTCGACATGATATCTTTACATTCATTGTATTTCACCAGTTTGAATAACTTTTGATTACGTCAGGTAACAGGATTAGTTGTGATAGATTAGTTAATTTATTGATTAGACAATTAATTTTCTCTGTTTCTCAAATAAGTATTGTTGATGAAATTAACCATAATGCCGCGCTTAGATGATTAATGAAAACAGTAATGATAAAAACGGTAATGGTTCTTTCTGTATCATACTCATCATTTTGTCATCTCTTACAACTATTACTGATCGTTTTATATTAAATGTACTAATCACAACACACTTGTGTAATTGAATGATTTTTTTTGTCATGAACTAACACTTAATGGAGAATCAATAAAACTTAAGAAAACATGTAAGACTCTTTTGCTCAACGGTTCTTTATTAGTTATTGCTGAGGAGTCGTAATGAAATCAAACCAGTTGTGATGTGCACTATTTATACGGACAGACATAAGTAGTATGTAGCAAGTGAAGCAAATGAAATGCTTACCAGCAGAAGATTGGAATGAAGAGAACAGAAAGGAAAATGGAGAGTGATCAGAATAACCACAGAGTTAAAAGAATGATGGAGTATATTAAGGACAACTGATGGAAGATGTGAAAATGATGCATTTAAGGTGTGATTTTCATATTTTACAAAGGTACTGTGGGATTCCGTATAAGAATAATTAATTAGTTTTCCACACCCAGTCTTCGTTCACTAAATCGTGACTGTCTGGTTACTCGGAAAGCGTGATAAAATGAGAATCTAATATTTTTCATTTGCAGCCTCATTTGATGTACAAACTAGTCCGATGATCACTTGATCTTATCTGTGATAACTGTGTGACGTGGTCGAAATTAGCCAACGATAAGGCTGGAAATTCATCCCCTCGATCTGATGAGTGCACACTCCTGAGGAATCCTAAACTAAAACATTTTTTAGAGAATTACTAATGTTTTCAAATTAAACATTGCCAACCTCGTGCCTTAATTGTAATTCATCAAAAAGTATGGTAAATTTTTGTATTAAATTATCTTTATTTTATTTTAAAGATCAATGTTTAGTTGCATTTTATAACTCCTGATCTTGTAGATTGTATTTTAAAAGATTATTTTCACTAAATAAGACAACTATGAAACTTAGATATCCATGCACTCAAGGAAAGGTAATAAACGCTCTGCAACACCTTAATTCAAGAAATATACTACGTGACGAATAGGTTGTTAGAGTTGACCTGGACAATAACTTGTATTCTTAAACATGTTTCTAATTTTCTTAGAAATTTACAGATTCAAATCTTCTTTAAAAAAACATTTCTTTTAATTACAGGCAGTTAATCTACTTAACTTGTGTATGAATGTACGCAGTTTGCAATGTCTTTAACCCTATTTCTCATTTTGTTAAAGAAACTTATTGAAATATCTTGTGCTAAGAATTCTTATATTGAAACCCCTTTTATTAATAATAGAACAGATAAAATGCATTTCCAACTAAATAGTTTGAAAAAGAATTAATGAAGTGGTTAATAAGTAAATGAAACTTGAATTTGGTTAAATAGTTAAGCAAACAAACAATGAACAAACCACAGTTGGTGGTTCTATGTTCGCGTCGTTTAGTATTTATACTCGAAAAATGAGGAACTACTGCAATTCTCAAAACACAAACTTAAATAATCTAGATTAGTACAAGTGAATATTTACTGACCGCAAAACACGACGACTAAGACCCTAGTTGAAAATACACTCATTTATTTATTGACTGCTCACCCGTTTGTTTAGTAATTAAGAAAAAGTTACATATATGAAATTATAGGACAGTAGCACGCTGCATTTCATGCTGAACATAGTTCACGTTAATCTAATACATGAATACTATATCTTCAATAAGTAAAATAGTACACTGAAAATAGGATAAATATTATACCAAGTAATCATCGTATTAAATTGAAAACGGATATAGTGTTGGACAGGAATCACAATGGGTTAAAAATATAGTTTTGCCTTTACATCATGTCATATCGGGTGGAAATTAAGAATGTCTGCTGACGGCTAATTAAATCATGCTACTATTACTACTACTACTACTACTACTACTACTACTACTACTACTACTACTACTACTACTACTACTACTACTACTACTACTACTACTACTACTACTACTACTACTACTACTACTACTACTACTACTACTACTACTACTACTACTACTACTACTACTACTACTACTACTACTACTACTACTACTACTACTACTACTACTACTACTACTACTACTACTACTACTACTACTACTACTACTACTACTACTACTACTACTACTACTACTACTACTACTACTACTACTACTACTACTACTACTACTACTACTACTACTACTACTACTACTACTACTACTACTACTACTACTACTACTACTACTACTACTACTACTACTACTACTACTACTACTACTACTACTACTACTACTACTACTACTACTACTACTACTACTACTACTACTACTACTACTACTACTACTACTACTACTACTACTACTACTACTACTACTACTACTACTACTACTACTACTACTACTACTACTACTACTACTACTACTACTACTACTACTACTACTACTACTACTACTACTACTACTACTACTACTACTACTACTACTACTACTACTACTACTACTACTACTACTACTACTACTACTACTACTACTACTACTACTACTACTACTACTACTACTACTACTACTACTACTACTACTACTACTACTACTACTACTACTACTACTACTACTACTACTACTACTACTACTACTACTACTACTACTACTACTACTACTACTACTACTACTACTACTACTACTACTACTACTACTACTACTACTACTACTACTACTACTACTACTACTACTACTACTACTACTACTACTACTACTACTACTACTACTACTACTACTACTACTACTACTACTACTACTACTACTACTACTACTACTACTACTACTACTACTACTACTACTACTACTACTACTACTACTACTACTACTACTACTACTACTACTACTACTACTACTACTACTACTACTACTACTACTACTACTACTACTACTACTACTACTACTACTACTACTACTACTACTACTACTACTACTACTACTACTACTACTACTACTACTACTACTACTACTACTACTAAAATACTGGTATTAATAGTTTTAAAAACCGGGAGAAAACATCAATGTTATGGTAAAGTGTTAAACTTGTGTTTACAGGAATTTTAACTAAAGTGTTTGTAACAGAGGTCAGAAAACAGCATGTGCCCAGTCAGTTAGATTAACGAAAAACTAAGTGTAATTTACAGCTTAAAATTAGACTCATAATAAAGTTAACAATAAACCATAAAAAAATTTCCGTCTGTTAGTTTATCTTTAACAAAATGTAAATAATTTACATTTAATATAACATGTGGGCGTTTTAGTACAGTTATCTTTTTAGGAGTGTGGAAAAGCGAGTTAATGAAATACTAGAAGTTATTAATCACTGAAATGAATAAATCGAAGCATTGGTAAATGTTATTATCCCAAAGATAGGCCAAAAAAATAAAATAAATTAGAAATGAGATTGAAGTGATAAATATCAATGATAGTGTGGTGTGGGTTACTTATATCGACATAAGTAGTGTATAACGGTGGTCAGGCACAGAATGTATTCCAGTAGAATGTCGATGAGGAAAGAACGGGAACGGAAGGCAATTGATATGAAAATGCATGAACAATCAAATCTGAGATAATAGATTGATGTTTGCAACGAGAACAGTCAAGTTTGATATGATGAATTGATATTTTGCAAATTAACTATTTACTATATAGTGCTCAGATTTTATTGAGATGCTCTGTAATTTCGTGTCACATAGATTCGATTGTCTGTCCTCACTCGTGTTCTTGTTCACTACACTATGTCTAGCTCACATGGGTTATTCTAGCCTCTGGACAGACCAATTTATCCATTCTTTTGGAGCCACATTTTGACCTTGTTAATTAGTCGCTTATTAACCCTGTCTGTTTTCATATGATAGTATGTGTTAATTATTCAGTTTGTGAACTATATAGCAAAATAAAAAAATGTTGGGTCAGTAACAAAAATATCAAAAGTGAATCAGAAGAATTTCAATTCAAGTAATAGTCAAACAGTTATAAGAATGAAAAAAAAACATATAGAAAAGATAGCTATGAAAATTTGGCAAACAAAAAAGGGAAAAAGAAGAGAATGAACATGTGTCAACAAAGTCTACTTTTTAAGTTCAAAAGTGGTACTATAGTGTCTGGTACTATTGTGGTGTGGGTTACTTATATCCACATAAGCAGTATAGAACGGTGATCAGGCATAGAATGTATTTCAGTAGAAGGTCGATAAGGAAAGAACGGGAACGGGACGCAGTTGGTATGAAAATGCATGAACAATGAAATCTGAGACAATGGACTGATATTTACAAAAGGAAACAGTCAAGTTTGAGACGATGGATTAATATTTCGCAGAGCAACTATTTACTATATGGTTCTCAGAGTTTAGTGAGATGTTCTATAATTTTATGCTCAAATGCATTCGATCGTCCTCACTCGTATTCTAGTTCGCTACAATAGATAATAAAATAAATACAACCTTTTGTTTAGCAAACTAATTCAAGTTTCATCAAAGAAAATAATCAATCATCGAATTTTTCTCGGTACCTTTGATATTTGATTATTTCTCTTAAAGAAGCTTAAACTAGACTTCCAAGTGAAACGTTGGAATTATTTTTAATTTTATTCATTGACAACTTTATAAATATAATTTTCTTTCAATGTTTCCTATTAACCACTGAGGAATTATTCGTTGACATTTAGATGAATGTTCTTATAAAAAAGAAATGAATCATCTATTTCATAAAATACATGTTATTCTCACAAGTGTATGATATCACTTTTATAGTAAAACTAGAACGTTTTGAAATTGACAGTTTTATATTTACAGTTTTGGTGGTTTGTCAGATTAAGTGAAGTGTCAATTTTCAATATTATCCAAAATAATAACGAAATACTTAGGCTGACTCAATCATTTGACTGGGAGATCTTTTAGTAAAAGAGTTACTGATGCGAACAGTTTTTAAAATGAATAAAAATGATATATATATATATATATATATATATATATATATATATATATATATATATATATATATATATATATATATATATATATATATATATATATATATATAACTATTAATACCAGTATTTTAGTAGTAGTAGTAGTAGTAGTAGTAGTAGTAGTAGTAGTAGTAGTAGTATTAGTGGTTGTAGTAGTAGTAGAATTAGTAGTAGTAGCAGTAGTAGTAGTAGTAGTAGTAGTATTAGTAGTAGTAGTAGTAGTAGTAGTAGTAGTAGTAGTAGTAGTAGTAGTAGTAGTAGTAGTAGTAGTAGTAGTAGTAGTAGTAGTAGTAGTAGTAGTAGTAGTAGTAGTAGTAGTAGTAGTAGTAGTAGTAGTAGTAGTAGTAGTAGTAGTAGTAGTAGTAGTAGTAGTAGTAATAATAATAGTAGTAGTAGTATTCGTAGTGGTGGTAGTAATTGTAGTAGCAGTAGTACTATTAGTAGTAGTAGTAATAGTAGCATGATTTAATTAGCCGTCAGCAGACATTCTTAATTTCCACCCGATATGACATGATGTAAAGGCAAAACTATATTTTTAACCCATTGTGATTCCTGTCCAACACTATATCCGTTTTCAATTTAATACGATGATTACTTGGTATAATATTTATCCTATTTTCAGTGTACTATTTTACTTATTGAAGATATAGTATTCTTATATATATATATATATATATATATATATATATATATATATATATATATATATATATATATATATATATATATATATATATATATATATAGTTTAACATTCGTAAATTCGCATATTGCTCCAGTTTTCTATCCCAATTTCTTAATTGCTTTTAATTTCGTCATTCATAATCAAACCTATAGTTACGTGACTAAACTATTTATGAGATACAGGTATTATCATACTAAGACTATTTGAAACACATTTATCAATCTGCTTTTTTTTACGGTTCAAATAATTACAAGGATAACATAATGATAATCATCGTGAGTAAATATTAGGAAGTTTTTTCACATATTTTCGATTTTCTCACTTCATTCTTCTTCACGCTATTTAAAGTTTTATTTACTCAGCTGATGTATTCTTTCTTCATTTCATTTGTACCCAGTATTTTTTTTGACATTTTCTTCCTTTTTTTGATTATATATCATTTTATAGAAAGCTTTTTATTGTAACTTAAATAAAAATTAGTTATTCGTTTATTGTGCAGAACTTTACGGCTCATATTGTCTTAATATGCGTTTAACATCACTTTTATCTCCACTCTCTCTAGTCCTGTAGGACAGTTGTTATTAATCCTTTTTCATAACAGGAGTTTAGTAAGCAAAGATGTAGTCCCGGAACGAACATCAGCTCTGGGATGCAGGTATATCCAGCTAACGAGTCCTGAATAGGACGAAACGTGCGTCCCGGATTCCACTAATAACCGTCATTCATCTTTATTTATAAAGCTTGTGACTTAAGGCAATATCGAGGTAATACTTAAAGGGCAAGGAAAAAACGGTAATCCCGTTCAAATCTGTCCGCCGTTTCGTTTCAACGACCTTGAACGCACTGATTGGGACGGGCATTACGTATTTCAGTTGCCGTGGGTGTGTTGGGTCCTATGAGTATTAAGTTTTTCCATATTTAAGTCATCTTTTGATGCACAAAAAACACAAAATAACTGCTAAGAGCATTAATTTAGCATTTTCTGTTTTGTGTTGCACACTTTAGCTCTGTTGTTCCTTCGTAACTTGATCTGTGATCTTAACTGCTGTAGTGAACGTCAACACCTTTATATAATTTGTTGATAAGGTCCAGAAAACAACGTAAGAAAGATAAGCTAACGTAAAAAGTTATAGATACGCATAGTTTTTGTGAGTTAAGACGAAATGTCAACTGAAGGGTAAGTCCTAAATATTTGTTGTTCATCTTTCAGTCATTTTTTTTAAAGGAATAATCTTTTTTTAATAACTAATGCTTGTTTTCTGTAGTGCTTCATGCTCAAGTGAAATTTCAGTGGACGTAAGCGACGCGTTTCAACGTATTATGCTCAACAAGGGATTCGGAAGCTGGATTGAATTTGATAATGCGCTAAAGGATTTCCATAAAGTATGGTAGAATAAATCTATGTTTTCTCAGATAACCCATACACACTATGTTCACGCAGAAAGTAGATTGTTGAAAGATGTGAGATATAAATACTTGTTCGTAGTGTTTCGTTGCACGTTTGGTCGTAAGCGTAAATCAGAAGGTCTGACTGTGAATAAAAAACCGTGAGGACTTTAACTGATGAGTGACATTTAACGTCTAAGTTTTTAAACTGCCAATCGATGTTTCGTGTAAGATTGCAGGGTCAAGAACACGTTATAAATTCTTACAACATGTCTTACAACCATCCGTGTAGTAGTTCATGGATGGTTTGTGATCCGTTGAGTAGAAGATTGTCATCAGAAGAAAAAGAAAACTTGGACCAAGTTATATTGCACTGTCAGTCGACAGACGGAGTTATAGAAAGTATTAAGGAGAGATCAGGTAAGCAGGTGACCGCTGTTGATTTCAAAAATATGAAAGCTGAACTCTCCTCTGGTAAGTGTATATAAATATATTTCAGGTTGTACTCGGAAGCAGGTAATGCACATGATGCGACAAAACGGTGAAGTTAGAGAGCATGTAGAAAATGGATGTATTACGGCAATATGTTTCAGCAGTTATGACCAGATACGGTTGTACAATCAATATCTCGAAGTCGTGTGTATTGATTCTACGTGTAAAACTAATAATAAGAAGTGAATATGATTTTCGTTTTATTCTACTATGTAGATATTCATTATTTCAGTTAGTGGTGACAGATAATTGTGGTCGAGGACGTACTGTGATGTTTGCGTGGACGCGAAAAGAAACATATGCAGATGTCACATGGATTTTAGAAAAATTCAAAGAGATAATGGGAAACACAACAATAACAGAAACATTTGTGATGGGTTGCGCACGCTTGGGTTACGTAATAATGGATTACAATTTGAAGAGTTCACATAATTAAAGAGGATTAAGTGAGCAGGTGTTAGTCACAGGGTGATTTAATAAATCGGTAACTAAATGCATCATTACGTGATCCATCTTATTACTTGTTAATTCCATGGATTATAATGAATTCATATTGTCCTCTATCTATATTTGTTCAGGCGTCATATCGACTATTTATACATACGTACATGAATTCTAAGGTGAAACACTGAGTACAGTTGCTATATTTATATTTCAATAATTCATTAGTTGAATAAAAATGTCACTAGGCAATATGGAACACAGTTATCCTAAACTTGTAAACCGCTTTTCCACATGATCTTCCATAATCACAAATTCCATAAGTTGTAGGCCGGCGTTAACATCATCACAAAGCTTTGAGGACTTTAATGGATTCATGCAATTCTGAAAAACAACAAATCAGTCGTGAAATAAAGATTTAAACTTAGTTATCAGTATCACATTTAATAAGTCGATTAAATAGCAGGTAACAGAATGTACCTATAAGTCTCTTATTTGCAAACATCGCTATTCATTAGAGATTTCGAATTCCGTTAATAAAAATTCATCGGTAATCTTTACAACACACAAATTAGTGTTATTTACAAATTGCTGTAGTTAGTATCATCACAACATACAAGTGTCTTCCAACTTATGACGAAAATGTAAGTAATTAATATGGCATAAAGGAGATATGAATACTAGAAACTTGTGATTCTGCTTCCATTGTTCATTCACTTGTCACGTTGTCTGCATCAATTACTTCGGAGTAGGAATTCAAAAATTAACTTATTAATAGTTGTTATTTGATTCAATTCTGTGTCGTAACAAGGACCGGAAACTTCATGTAAACAACGCACTTCAGTTTCTAACCCTCGTAGTATTTCGTCTAGACATTTGGTATTAGCAAGAAAAATTGGTAAGCACAATTTAGCTATTACTCGACAATATGCAATATAACTTTGTTCATATTTTGGTCAGCGATTGCGGATTCCGTTTACTTATGAAGACTTTGTGCCTACTTAATATGGTGTTATACACTGTTCCTGTATACGTTCAGAAAGCCGCTAGAAAACGTTATCAACGTCAATTGTTACTCACATAATTTTTCTCAGATACGTTACATAATAATATGTCACCTCAGTACAAAACGATGGTACCTATGATGGATATAACATTTTATGGCTAAATACAAACAAGTTATATAATATTCATAATTAGGTTAACGCTTAATTGCTTCTACTTACATTTTATAAACAACTACCGACATCCATGTTCACCGTCACCGCAATCAAGGAGGTGAACCATATGTAATGGGTTTTACGGCTTATTTTCATGAAAACTCAATCTGTGATCGATTTTTTGACTAGAAAAATGGTGAATTTTACTTGCTTGAGTTTGTATTGTTACAACTAACCATATTACGCTAACTACAGATTTACTTAGGTGGTGAGCAAGAAATACGTCAAACTGCTAATAAATTGGAATAAAAACTATGTTACAAGCACAAGCATTACGGAAATTGATGTGTGATGGAAAAAAGCCTGTTAATAACTGATAAATAACGGCACAAAAAATCCACGACAATATGTAACGTGTGCGCGAAAACCAGTGACTTAACATGCAGAGTGTGCCAACACCTGGATTTATGTCAAACCGAGAGTCGCGCTCTTGTTAGCAACACATCCGTGCCTACTCACACTATGCACATTGATATGATGGAAAGAAATGTCAATTTTCGATTGGTTTATTCATTATGAGTTTTGTTCAACGTTACACCCGTTCTGATTCAATGTGTTGGCTTTTTCAGTGTAGCATTTGTCTCCTTTTTCTCGTATGATATTTTAATCTGTTTAATATACGATAGTCTTTTATTCTATTGACATGAACTATGCTTAGTCTGTGATTTCTTATAACTCTAAGTATTTTTCATATATGTGATTTCATCTTTATTATTAATCAAAATGGATGTACAATCAATATATAAATGAGTGTATTTTCTACTAGAGTTGTCGTCGTCATAGTGTTTTGGGGTTAATAAATCATCTCTTATATCAGTCTTTGTGTTCTTACTTTCGCGTCTTGGAAATTGCAGAGGTTCCTCGTTCCGAGTATAAGTGATAAGCGTTTCCGGCATAACAATCAGCGACAACCAGATACAAAAAGTAGCATTAAAAGAGCCAGGAAGATAAGCATTTAAAACGACAAATTATAACACACATATTTCAATAAGAGACTGATCAATTGCAGTGCTAAACATCAATGGGAACATTCAAACGAACAATATAAAAGAAGTTTAATAAGTGATTATAAAATTAATGAAAAACCAAACATAAATTCTCACTGAAATAACATAAAATAAATAAAGTCATTTTGTTGTCAATAAAATATGTTTGTGGAAAAATTAGATTTCCTAACGTTTCGTGACTCAGTGTAAGCTACTTCTTCAGC